CTGCTTTTGGGACTGGGATTCAGTCTTTGTATCCTTGGCAGGAATAGGCATTTCCTTCCACTTAATAGGGGCTGCATGTAATTTTTAAAGTGGATGGAAGATAGGCAAAAGATTTAAAAAAATAGTAACTGTGATAATTAGCTGACAGTTTGTAGCACTGATTACTAGTTGGCTAATTATGGATAGGTTCTCAGTTATGTATGACTAGATGAACTTTGCTTCTTCTCACCACATCCCTGCTGTTAAGTATTTGTATGTTACTCATTTTTCAATGAAAGAGTTCAGTTCTAATCAATAGTATTTTGAAAAAACCTTACTATTAACCTAAGAATTAATTTTTGAATTATGTCAGAGTAATCTTTTCTAATTTTGAATTTTAAATATACTATCTGGATTTCTTTGTTTATTTGTTTTACTATAATTGGTTAGTGTGATATCTTCAGTTTGTTTACTGATGTACATTCATAATCCAAATTTTGTTTCTTTTTATATTCTGTTGGAACTGTATCAGATTGCAGTATTTTCTAGAAACACTGGGTTTTAATTTGAGAAAATCTGGTTCAAAAGGTAAAATATCATTCCTGATGTTACAAAAATTCATGTTGTGATTACCTCTGTTGCTAGCCAATTGAGAAGATCCATCAAGTCACTAGGCACTTATAGTAAATGGGATATGTAAACGTGCTCTTCTTTCCTTAGGAAACTTCTTGTCATACGTCTAGATCATTAATTGCCTTCTGTATGATGTTTTATAAATTAAGTATTTATGGCTCTCTGTCTTTCAGGCTGGCATGGCTCTGTATAAGATTGTCCCCAAAAACCCTTACTACTTTTGGTCTGTGATGAGCTTAATTATGCAAGTGAGTATGGCATTCAGAACGGGATTGAGATTTGTTTTTATATTTGTATATAGTTACTGTCCTTAATGTGTCTTCTTAATATCTTGAGTAATGTGCTGCAGCATGTGTCAAACAGGGACTTTTCATATTGTCAGTTGACTTTTTGAGTTGGGGAGTTTGGTATTCTTTATGAGCTGGAGTATTGGTCTGTTTGTGTGTAGCACAGTCTGTATTTCCCCTGAATCTAAGGATCCATTACTGGGTTATTTGATCAAGTACAAGCCCTGAAATGTTTGATATTTTGACTTGAGGTTTGTCTTTTATAACAATATTGTTGGTTAGTGAACAGGTATTTGAACTGGGTGGCCTTGTTTTATCATTTCTGCTTTCTGGGCCTTAGTTTGCTCGTTGCAGAGTGGAGATGCTCATCTTCCAGAGCTACTGTAAGGACCAAAATGAGGTACTGTGTAGGAGAGGATGGGGAGGAAGGACTTAAATGTAGCGGTTAAGAAGAGAGAGGCTCTAGGTTCAAACAGGTCTGCGTTCAAATATCGGCTTCACCACATATCTTGGAGAGTGATTGGAGAATCTCTTGACCTTATTTTATCTATAAAATGAGAATAATAGCTATTTCGAAAGGTTGTTTACGGGGGTGAATGAGCTCTGAGCAGAATCTCTGGCAGTGTTAAAATTATTAATACCATGCCTCAATTTTAATTATCAATTTAAGGTAATTGTAGCTAATAGTAAGCTGTATAAACAATTGGCATATTGCTCCTAATATGTGAACATCTCAAAAAGACGTCTGAAAGGATTTTCTCTTCAGTTGATGATACATACCTTTATACATAATAAGCAGTATAAGCATTCTCCCTCTTAACATATTTCTAGGAAAATATTTAAAATATTTAAAAGTTAGATCACGAAAATAAAGTTAGATCATATTGTGGAAACTCGATGTTTTAAGAATGCATAGGATAATGAATTTTAAATAAATATCTTGCAAAGAATACTACTCTATTGTATCTTCCTGAAATTTCAAAATAGATCAGATATTTGATGTAGTGAAATGATTATGTGCTGGATTTATAGTAATGTTCTTCATGGTAATTAATATAAATAGTGCAAGCAGAGATAAAACTTTTTTTTTCTCTTCTAGTCTATATCGGCACAGGATGAAAACCTCTCAAAAACGATGTTTCTGCCCCTTGCTGAGAGAATGGTAGAAAAAATGGTGAAAGAGGACAAGATAGAAGCGGAGGCTGAAGTGAGTCATTTAAGCTCTACTTTAGTATTGCATGATTTTGATATTGTTGCAATATTATGTTACAATATTATGACCTGTTGCCTTATTCCAGTCAGAGAACTGGGTCCTCACTGTTGCCTTTTGTGTAGATGTAAAGCTTTGGAAGCCCCAGCTTAGGTGTAATGAACATGGAGCTGTTTGCAGCAAGCACTCTAGACTGAGATATATATAGAGAGGGGAGATACTGTTGTCCGATTCTTACTGTTAATTTCATCTCGTTTGAAGATAGTTTTCTTTTCTGTTAGATAACTTTTTGAACACATGCAAATGACCATCTTTTTATTATTGAAAAGTTTCAATGGTTACACCTATTTTTCTGTAAGGTTGAACTTTATTATATGATCCTGGAACGTTTGGGAAAGTATCAGGAAGCCTTGGATGTCATCAGAGGAAAATTAGGAGGTAATTTTGAAGTTTTCTTAAAGTATTTTTTCCTGTTTAAACATGAAAATGTTTGTTGTGGAAAGTTTCTTCTTCATACAGAAACATGAAGATATAAGAAAATCACTTGTGACCATTTTATGTTCTTTCAGACTTTTCTGTTGCTCATTTATTTTTTAAAAAGATCTTTTAATTGAAAATAATTCACGGATTCATAAAGTTCAAGGAGTGTGAAAGGTTCGACCCCAGATCTCCATTCTTCTGTCCTGTAGATTCTTCTCTAGATGTATCTTATCTAAAGATGTATCTCTAAAGATGTATTTCTCCCCAACCCCTATTTTGTAAACCACAAATGAGAACATACTGTACCTGGCCCATAGAGGTACAATCTTATTCAGTTAGCATGTTTTTATTAAAAAATTTTTTTTTTCTTTGAGGTTTTAAATTTTTAATGTCTCTAGTTAGGATTTGTGCTCTGATACATTCACTCTTTGTTTACCTGCCTGTCCTGTGAAGGCATTGGAGTTGGTGACCTTTGCTCTGCATACTCATATTAACTGAGCTGTGTGTCTTAGGGGTACACCTAATATAATAGCTCACTCTTTAATGACTTGCCCAGCATCCCATAGTTTAAATGTAGAGAATTTACCTAACCAGTCCTTGGATATTTAGGCTCTTCGTAAGGAGCATCTTTGCTGTAAACCAGATTACCCTCTAAGAAGCTACAGTTTGCGTTCCTTTCAGCTGTGTTTATCATCAGTATGGAAGAGGGCCTGTTTTTTCGCATACTTACCTAGCTGTATTATCAAACCGTTTATCAAATTTTTTTATTTTTCAATCTGATAGATAAAACATATAATTTTTAATTATAAGGGAGGATAATTATTTTTTTCATTTACTTAAAAGCCATTAATGTTTTCTTCTTTTCTGAGCTGTTTTTCTTTATCCTTTTTCTAAAAATTTGATTACTCTTACTGGTTTGCAAGAGCACGTTATATGTTAAAGAAGTTAGTTCTTCTCCATTGTTGTGAAAATACTTCTTCCCTTTTTGTTGGAACACTGATTTGTACTAACTTCATAGATTGATTTAACCATTCCTCTATTTTAGAAATTTATGACGAATATTTTGGTTCCTAACTCTTTACACATGTTTGATGATTTCCTCAGGAGAAGTTCCTGGAAACGCAGTTATTGTTATGATAAATCTTTTTTTTTAATTGTGGCTTTACAGTCATTAGATGAGTAACTTCAGATCTCTCATTAGGTGTAGTCATTAAAAAAACTTTGTTTCATTCAAATATGTGCTATATGTCCTTTACTAGACTGTGTGTAGTCTTAAAACTTAGACTAACTGAGTTAACTACTTGAATTATATAAAATATAGGAGTTTTTTAACATATTCTCTAACTTCAGCCTCCTTGAAGATGGGTACAAATCAGCCTTTCTGTTTTTACTCATCTAGATTGTAGTTCTACATGTTGTTAAAATTGAGGTTCTCGGTAGGAAGTTCATAATGTCTGTATTCTTAATCTGCTAATCTGTTCTAAAAGGACGGGCCAGATTAATTTGATCAGAAATATAGTCCTGGTTTTTCTGTTCCCAGCTGTTTTACTCTTCTAACATCTCACCTTGCTCATCCCATTCCATTCCAAGCTTATTTGATATTCTAAAACTGTATGGATGGGAAACCTGTCTGTGGACTAAATATACCAGCCCCTAGATGCTGTTGGGTATCGGAAGTGTATCCCTCAACTCAGTACATTCTGAATCCTTGTGTTTTACAAAAAAAAAAAAAAAAAAATGATTGTAGAAGTTTAGTATCAGAAATGTATTTTTTCTTTTCAGCAAAATAATCTTTAATAAGATAGTCTGTATCTGTCAGTAACCTCATTTTCTAAGAGAGTGGGTAAGAAAATGTGATATTTCCTTTGTGTTTGGACTTTATTTTGGTCTCTGAGCAGAAATGAAACCAGCTTACCAACTACTCTAATTTTTAATTGTAGAGAAGTTGACAAGTGAGATTCAGAGCCGGGAAAATAAGTGCATGGCAATGTACAAGAAGCTGAGCAAGTGGCCAGAGTGTAATGCCCTTTCCCGGCGCCTCTTACTGAAAAAGTGAGTAGATGCTGCTTTTTGACTACGAGACTAGAGTGGGGCTTTCAGGTGTCATCATTGCTAGTTTTAGTCTGTCTTTTGAGATTTCTGGGCATAAAGTGAACTTTCAGTAGCATGTCCTGGATATTTTTTAACGTTTTGATGAACTTTTATCATTCAGTAAAGATGTATTAGGTCTTTAGAATGAATGCTGAAAAGCATTAATTTGTCAAATTCAATATTCAATATTGGTCTAAAAGAGAGACCTCCTTTCCCCATCCCCCTCATGTAGCAAGTACTAATGTGGGGAGTTTTCTGTTGAGAATATTAGTTTTCTAGACCTGGTCATTTCATTGAAGGAAAGAGTAGTCTCTCAAAAGTTTTTTTATTTTGAAAATGCCACTGGAGTGTTGGCCTTTTAAGGCTATAGAAGAAACCCAGAGGGAGGGGGGGTGCCTCCCCCATTAAAGACTAAAATATAACTTAGAAAATAAGTTTAATATCATGGTTCCTACGGCAGATTTGTCACAACTTGGGTTTAATCCTTTGTGCACCATTCAATCTGATTTTAGCTCAGATGACTGGCAGTTCTATCTGACTTATTTCGATTCTGTCTTTCGACTGATTGAA